TATTAACAAAAATGTTCCTGTATCAGACTATCAATGCAATCTTAGACCTCAGGTTGTGTATGCAAAAGGCAACTAAACATGCAGCTGACTTCAATGAATAACCCGAATCCCAAAGTAGCAGTTGACTAGCGTTAAAACACTAATCAAACATAAGAAAAACACCAAGCAAGGTGGAAAGAATGTGTAAATATGTTATGATGGATCCCACACGATTGGCACTCTGTGATTGTGCTATTGACAATCCGACATACAAACATAGGCAAATCTACCTTTTCAGCAACAAATGCAGCTCGAATTATGTGTAGAGTTAAATTCATTAATTTCTGCTCCCATTGCTCCATAGGAGTACTGGGTGCACTTCTGCACTCACTCCGCATAAATTACATCCAATGATGTAATTTCATCATTGGATCATTCTCTATCGCTTTATCAGAATGCCCTTGATTATGTCCCAATTGAGGCAACATTTCCATTTGTTGCCTAAAATCTATGTAGCTAGGACTCTTTAAAAATGTTGATGGGCGTGCGTCGGATCCCCCCAAAAATAGTATATTGTTGGAGGATCCGACACGAGTGCGGCAACATATTTGGAGAGTCCGCAACATAGCCTAAAATTAATGACACTCACTTAAAAATAAAAAATTTCTTTTTTGGTCTTGAATACAAATATGCACATTGACCATGAACAATAGCACAAATTTAAGCAAGTGGGTCCAGAGTCTCATTGCACACACTATTATGATGGATATTAATTTGGTACAAAAACATATATTCATCCGTCGGCTTTAAATTCTACGCACTGACGGTGTAAAAAATATTTACACAATCATGTCACTTAAAGGTAATTGCAGGTAACTCTAATCAAAGTAATCATTGATTGGTAACCAATAATAAATGATAACCAACCAACCTACTATAGCAGGTTAAATTATAGTGATGGTGTAAAAATTACTACACTGTGGCGTATATATGACTTAAATCCTTATCAAAATTGAATCTTTTTTACACAACTGCAAGTAACTCTAATTAATAAGCATTTGATCGATAACCTAGTATAAATGATAAGTAACCTACTACAGCAGGTTAAATTACATTGATGAGTAAAATTTCACTACACTGTCCGTGTATATAACTTAAATCCTTATAAGAAAACTAGAAAACTGAATCTTTATTACTTCCCAATAAGGTAAAGAACTTCAGTATAGCTAGCTGATTATTACTGTGAAAAAGAAGTAATTTTTATGAACTGAGAAGCAGAGATCGGAGGTAATTCTAAGTTTTAAATAACAATGTCATTTCTGAAAAGATTGAAGCTCACCATTTTCTATTTTTCTTCACTAGGATTTCAATTTCCAAGCTACCCCAATTGTGAAACTCGTTTTCCCCTTTTTTGGTAGAGAATTTAGATCAGGGGTGGAGTTTGAACCTTTTTCTTTACGGTTGGGGGGATTTGATATCGAGTTATCTGAACCGGAGTGGCATGTTAATTTAAACAGAGCCGGTCGAATATTAGTGAATTGGGTTTCTCCGGTTTTAAAGGAGGATATAATAATAAAAAAATGGGAATTTTTCATTCCTATACAATATTTGAAACTTAATTACCAAAATTATTCTAATTTTGTATATTACCCGCCATAAACAAGGATTACTTACAAATTATATACATTCCATCTTAAAAGACTCTCAATCCCTTATTAGTTCCTTCAATCAAAGGATTTAGTTACATTTTTTTTTTCCTTTTTTTCTCTCCTCTCTCCCCTGTTCTCTCCAGATCGAACTTATATTTAATTATGAAAACGGTCTAGTTGGATGAAAAAATTTGTCATTTGGTCAGCTCCCAACAATCTCTTGTTATTTCTCTCCACTCTCCCCTTTCTCTCCGAATCGAACTTATATTTAATTATGAAAATGGTCTAGTTGGATGAGAAGATTCGTCATTTGGTCCCAGCTCCCAACAGTCCTGTTATTGGCATGAAAGTACTATCCATTAGGTAACGGTTCAGTTGAAGTTGAAAGACAAAGTTTTTCCAGAAATTTCTTTTACCCCTTTCTATATGGGAATAGGATGAAGAATTCATTACTTAAATGGTCACTCAACTATCCCAAATTATCTCCTAAAGTCACTTTTCTTTCGTTTGTAACAACAAACTAAACTATGCATATTGCACTCAGAAGGTCACTCAACTAGATTTTCAAATTTTGGATTGCCAAATATCTATTTTACCCTCTAAATTATAAACATTTATCTTCTTTTTATTTTTTTAAAACTTTTAATATTATGATTTTACCCTTTTTAATTTACATTATAGACTTACCTATAGAATAAATAAATATTATTTATAAATTAAAAAAATAAAAAGTATTTAAGCATATATAATGCTGGAATAACAAAATATGAGCATAGTAAAAAACTTAATTAGAATAACTTGTTAGTAATAATAATTTTAGTATTAACAACAAAAATTCAAAAAAATATTTACACAATTCAAAAACGAAAGAAAATAAAGGTTGTAAAATATATATTCCATACTCGTAATATAAAAATTATATAAATAAAGGTATTTTTATAATATATATTATATGTTCTTGAAAATTATGCTCAATGATATTATATATATTCCATGCACAACCTAACATAGCATATTTTACCCTATACAAATAGTCTCCCTGCTTTCCGGTGACATTACTTTGTGTCATCAGAAAGTTGGTAGAAACATAATAATATAATTGAGCATAATAATGTATATTATAAAAATATATTTATTTAAATAATTGTTTTTATATTACGTGCATGGAATATATATTTTACAACCTTTATTTTCTTTCATTCTAAATTGTGTAAATAAAGTTTTGAATTTTTTTGGTAACACTAAAAAGTATAAAAAAGAAATGTTTATAATTTAGAGGGTAAAATAGGTATTTGGCAATCCAAAATTTGAAAAATTTAGTTGAGTGATCTTCTGAGTGCAATAGGCATAGTTCAATGACTTTGTTGTTACAAATGAAAGCAAAGTGACTTTAGGAGATAGTTTGAAATAATTGAGTGACCATTTGAGTAATTGACTCATAGGATGAACCATCAATTTAGTCAATAATTTTACCAGAAATAATAGGGGGGCACTATCACACCTGAACATAGTGTAAACGAGGCAGAGTAAGCATAGTAAGAAGGTAATGTCTCCAAAAGCAGGCGACGAAAAACCTACATCAAATGTTGCAGCTGAACAAAATTTAGTGTCTCCTCGGACTTCAGAGAAGATAAAATCAACTGAGAAAAGAACAATACATGCTGCATCAACATACAAATTAAAAACAAAATTTGTATAAATTTAATGCAAATTTGAATAACTACAACAACATACACAGTAAAAATAAATTTCATACAATTAATTATATATTGTACAACTTATCTACAACTTTCATACATTATTTCTACCTAGTTAAATACAACTGCAATATCATACAACTTAAATCCAATTTTTATACAAATTTTATACAATATGTCTTTTGTATATATTTTGTATCTAATTTGTATATATTTTGTCTGTGGTGTGTGCTTCTTCCTCTCTAAAATTTTAATCAAAACATACTCTCTTAATAAAATTTTGATACATCTCAACAACTTTATGTAAAAAGATAATATTGATAAATTAAATATAAATTTTATACAATGATTCAAACATTATACAACTATTTTTTCACTTTCATACAACATTCAAATAAAAAATATATATATAAATACAACATAATACAATTTACATACAATTATAATACAACTTTACTACAATTTCGTAAGTATATTGTATGTCATGTGTTCTTCTTCTTTTTCTTCTTCTTCGAGTTTCAATGTGATGACCCAAAAGGTCATCTTCTGTTTTAGAACTCGAATCCGTGTTCCGAGGCCTTAAAAGCCTCACTTTATCTCTCCTCGGTTTGCGTGCGCAGTCCGGGCGTGATTCCAGAAAGCCTTTATGTGGAAAATTGAGAAAAACAATAAGTTTTGCCTTTAAAAGTTGATTTTTAGTTGACTTCGGTCAACATTTGAGCAAACGGACCCGGACCCGTGTTTTGACGGTCCCGGAGGGTCCGTAGTAAAATATGGGACCTGGACGTATGCCCGAAATTGAATTTCGAGGTCCCTAACCCGTGAAATAAATTTTTGATAAAAACTGTTAAACTGAAATTCCAAAGGGTTTGAGAAATTAGTAAATGTTTGATCTCGTCAGTATCGGGCCCGTATTTTGGTTCCGGAGCCCGGTACAGGTTTAATATGATAATTACATCATGTCTGTGAAATTTGGTAAAAACGGAGTTTATTTGACGTGATTCGGACCTTTGGTTGAGAAAATATAAGTTCTGAAACTATCTTAAAAATTTCATGTGTTGTGGTGATTGAATTCGCAGTTCTAGGTGTTATGTTGACGATTTGGTCGTGCGAGCAAGTCCGTATGATGTGTTAAGACTTAGGTGCGTGTTTGGTTTGGAGCCCCGAGGGCTTGGGTGAGTTTCGGATAGGCTACGGGATATCTAGACTTACGAAAAGACCTGGTGTTGGATAGTTGCAGAGATTGCAGGTCTCATGTAACGACCCGACTGGTCGTTTTGAGCAATCGCTCCGGTTTGGCAGTTTGAGGTCACGAGTAGCTTCACACAGTGTATTACGACTTGTGTGCATCACCGGTTCGGGTTTTGAGAGGGCCGGAAAGGGATTGTAGGAGTGAATCTCATTTTAGGCCCGAAGTTGAAGAAATTGACCCAGGGTTTGACTTTTGAATATTTGACCTCGGGCCGGAGTTTCGATGGTTCCGGTAGGTTCGGATAGTGATTTTGGACATAGGCGTATGCCCGGAACTTCATTTGGATATTTCTAAAAGGTTCGGCATCATTTGGCGAAATTTGGCAATTTAAAGGTTTAAAATCCTCCTAAGGTTGACCATGGTTTGACTTTAAGGTTATTGGGTCCGGATTGTGGTTTTGAAATTTGGAATAGGTAAATTAGAACTCACCTGTGTGTGTGGCGTTCCAGAAAAAGGAATGAGAGCTCTCATCTCGCATCCGTCCCTGCGGGCAGTACCCATCTTCGCAAACCTGCTTAATCCCTTCTTTGAATCAGCCTTCACTAACCACTCTCTCTTTCCTCCTACCAGATTAACTCCCTATTCAATTTCTCCAAGATCTAATAAGACAAATTTAAAAGTTCCTTCATAAGCACTTCAACTCTTTATCCATATTCCTAGATCCAATTATCTTACTCCAAGAGTTGGTCTAATTCCCTTGAAATTCTATCGGTCATAAGCTTAATTATTATTACTACTTCTCAACATATAGACGTTTTTCTTCTGTTAATAAATTGAGTTCGCAGATCTGGTGGGCAGATTTTATCGCATTGTTGGATTAAATTATTGAGGGTTGAAATTGAAAATAAAATGGGCGGCACAAGGAGGGCTAGTGTTATCATTTGCCTCATTGCTCGTTCACTTAATTCTTGTCAAGTCCAATGATGATCTTGTTCAATATACTGCTACTACTCTTTTCACTAAGGATTTGACTTCCACTTTAGCCACTAGAAAAGGTCTTGGGTTTCGCAAGTTGTGGGGAAATGTGAAGTCATTGGAGTCCTTGCACCCTCATCCAATCCAAGAAGTGCATACCCTGATTGAGCCGAGCGTTGGTGAATTGGTAAAGGAAAAAGCTAAATTGAGTATTGAATTGGCCGTATTGAGGTAAGTATCTTGCCTAACCTTGTGTGGGGGACTTCCCCTTAGGAATTGAGTCTTCTATGCTAATTGTAGTCTGTGCATACGAGGTGACGAGTGTGTGCTCGGACTTATTTGTAGGAAATATGTTTTAGGGTTCTTAGGTCCTTATGTTCAATATGTGGAGAGTATTCCGTTATGATTGAGTTTAATAATTGCTTAAATTGTCTCTATATGCTTCATATGATGTTGCTAGCTTTCCTCGAATTCCTACGTGTTGCATTGACCCTTAATTGCCTTAATTGAAGTGATCGCCTTCCTTTTTGTTTTGATACTTCTTGATTGTGAGTTTCTCTATGACTTCGTACAAATAGGTTACATGTCCAATTGTTGTGATTACCGGTGTAGTTATCACGTGCTTTTTGTGTCTTGTTGTTTAGTTGAGGTTTCATTGTGAAGTTAATTATCGTACAAGTTTGGTTATAGCTGATTCCCTTGCCGGGACATATTTAATTCTTACTGTTGGTTCCCTTGCCGGGATGTGTTTACTCTTGTTGTTGACTCCCTTGCCGGGATATGGTTGTTTCCATGTTGTTCCCTTGTCGGAATTCTTTTGTGATTAGTGTTGATTTGTATATTAAATGGATCGGGTTGCACGCCGCAAAAATATTATATGGACCGGGTTGCACTCCGCAACAATATTAAATGGATCGGGTTGCACGCCGCAACAATATTAAATGGATCAGGTTGTGCGCCGCAATAATATTATATGATTTGGATCGGGTTGCACGCCGCAACAGTACTATATGATTGGGATCGGGTTGCACGCCCCAACGGTACTATATGATTGGGATCGGGTTGCACGCCGCAACAAGAAAGAACAAAAGTGAATATTGCCTCTTATGGTGAGAACAAGAGTAAAATCACGGAAGGCGGTGTCGTGCACTTTCTACTGCTGTGTTTATTTGTTGTTATCAATTCAAGTGTTTAAACTGTTTAAATTTCTTTATTGCTGTGATCCTTTGTGTTAGAACATACAATGTTTTCAATACCTCACCGTATTTATGTGTATATATATATATATATATATATATATATATATATATATATATATATATATATATTCCAATACTTTAAACTTCAATAACTGTTACAGCCGTAATTTAATTAGTTTCTCAATTATATCCCTTTAAACCGTTTGAGGTCGTATTTTACTTAAAAAATGTATTTCTACTAAGTTTTAAGTTATAAAATCTTATGTTCAAGGTAATAATCCATCTAATGTTGTACTTTTAAATTAAAAGGGGTACTTTCCTTACTCAAATAATTTCAAAATAAATAATTTCACCTTTTCTCGCTGGCTTTCCCAATTAGTTCAGAAAATGTAATTTTACTTATATTAGGTAAATGGGACTTCCTGGACATATTAAGTGCATTGTACGGACATTATGTATTGTATAGCATGTGGATTCTGTTGTTAAAAGTGAAATGGAAAAGATGGGGGCACAAGGTGCCATGTGTGCGGAAAATTCGGAAGTTGAGATTATTATATGAGAAATCGAGGATTGAGATGGTCGGTATTGTGTATTAGACATGATGCGATTGATTGAGTGGGTGTTTCCTTCGTTAATTGAATACACTCTTACTCGTCTCTATTCCTGTTATGTCAGTGTTGATTTACTTGGTTATCGTTTGTTACTACCCGCGTTCTCCTTTATTGTTCTTACTGTTGTATTTTGATTTCTTTCCGTTGTTGATATTACCTCGTTATCTTTATCGCGATATTTTATTATCATATCTTGTTCATTTCATTTGACCAGTAGGTGTCTTGATTGTTCCTCGTTACTACCCCACCGAGGTTAGTCTTGATACTTACTGGGCACCGCCGTGGTGTGCTCATACTACACTTCTGTACATTTTTGTGTACAGATCCAGGTACTGATCGATAGTAGCTATGCGGGTTGTCGCGGTGGAGACTCACGGTAACCTGTTGCTGCGTTCGCAGGCCTCGGAGTCACCTTCGTTTGTATTTACGTTCCATTGATTCCTTCTCGTTCTGGATCAGTGTTGTATATTTTGTATAATTACTCTTAGAAAGGCTTATGACTTGTACCACCGATTTTGGGAATTGTGATTTATTGAGAGCTATTTAATTTGAAGTTAGTAAATATTAATGTTATTTCTGTAAATGTTAGGCTTACCTAGTTTAGAGACTAGGTGCCATCACGACCCCTTAGGAGGGATTTTGGGTCGTGACAAGTTGGTATCAGAGCTCTAGATTCATGGGTGCTACGAGTCATAAGCAGGTTTAGTAGAGTCTTGCAGATCGGTATGGAGACGTCTGTACTTATCTTCGAGAGGCTACAGAACTGTTAGGAAATTCCACCTTTTCATTTCTTATCGTGCGATATTAATTCAGCTCGAAGTACCTGACTTATGCCCCTCTACATCTACTCGTGTATAATATTACGCTCTCAGCGTTCGCTATGCGCCAGTGGTTCGTGATGCTACAGACAAGCTACAAAGGAGTCAGGGATGCTCAGGCATTGCCTCGACGTGTCGTCCAGACTGAAGATACAGAGGCATTAAGAGACTATTCAATTGTTCGTATGGAGGCGCAGCGGTTTCCGGCACCTGCTTCAGGCTGCGAGCTGGTAAGGTTTAATTGGTTGACTAGTTGTCGCGATTGTGGCAAGGCCATGAAGTGGGTGTTGATTGGGAATAGTTGGTGGTATTAGAGTACCTCGTGATTTATGTTGTACGAGCTTTGAAGGTTAGTTTTGCGGATCATCAGACTTTGTTTTCTATGGCTTTGCGCCAAGTGGAGGAGTCCAATAGCGGCATTCAGATTGCGGAATCAGATTTGTATCAATCTTAGCCTGAGGTATGTGTATATGTGGTATTGGTAGATTCCCGGATTTGGGGTATGACCAGGGTCTGAGATCTCGCACGGGATGATGCTGGGGCTTACAGTATTTCTACGTCAATAATGGATCTACATTTCAGTATCTAGGGGAGTCGGAGGAACAACTTCAGATTCACAGGAGGTCTATTCAGCGTGGGCATCGTGGTTGTGGCAGAACGGGGTGCTTCAGAGGTAATGCGGTGGTCTATGAGTTTCTTGCTACGTAGTTCATGCTAGAGTCATCTGTATGTGGGGCTTTGATGGGAGTTATTGTATATCGACTATCCGAAGAAACGAGTCAGTTTAGTAGTATTGGGTCAGCATAGCCATGGAAGTAAATGGTCCTTTTGAATGGGAATTCTCTACTGGCATTTGTGGCAGCACTCTTGGATTGGGCGGTTTGTGTGACTCGGTTGAGTTAGGGAGGTGCTGTCCTGATGGTTTGGTTGCGTGCGGGCGGATCTCGGAGGGTTCTCAACAGTTGACTACGGCTTGAGTTGGGTGTCTACTATGGGCATAAGGAATATGTGGTACATCGCGGTTTCTCCCGAATCGTTATCTGAAATTAATAGAGCGTTGGCATTGTTGGCTATTATATGTGAAGAGTGTGCATTTTTGGAAAGGACCTTGAGTTTTGATTTGTAGTGCGTGGCTGGTAGCAGGGTGATTACTGGGTTTTAAGGCTTTCGAGGTTCATATTTCGTTACGCGGTCAGAAACTCTATATGAGTGCTTCAGCAGAATGATAGGGTGTAAGTGATATATCAGCCATTTGTTTGCGTAGTGGAGTTAGAGTATGGAAATTTTGGTATTCCTGAGGTTTTGGGGCTAGATGCCCTCATATGTGAATTATTTCCTATTTGCGGATTGTGGAGAAACGTTGAGGATGAGGTAGTTAATAGCATGCATGATTGATAGGTCGCTGTGAATTTTTGGAAAGGATATTTACCTATTTGAAAATAATCAGGATTTGGTTGGGGGCTATTTGAAAGCTCAATGAGAATATGTATCCTGTATCAGATCAAGTTTGAGTGCTCCCGTGAGATCGTCATTTTGGTTATGTTATCAGGCAGAATGGATATTATTTGTGCCCTAGCCTATGATATGTGCTACTCTTTTATGATGTGTTTGATGGCGAGGTTGTATAACTATTTTCCCCGCAAGTAGTAATCCTGTTCAGGCCTTACGGCGATACGGGCGAGATAGCCCTCGTGATGTTGATTTGCTTGGTGCACCTTAGTTGTACTTGCTTCTTTCATGTGTTAACACTTTCATTTATTTTCCCACAGTTTTATTTATGCACCTTGTTGTACTTGATATCAGTATTTATGTTCAGTGAGCTCGAGCATTTTGGCTTGATGAGTATTTGGGAGCGGGCTGCACGCCGCAGCGGATGTTATATGAGATACCCTTTCCTTGTGTTTATTTGGGGTCCTGTTTTTCCTCTGTGGAACAATTTGATGAAAACTATATTTTTGTTGTTGCTCATGTTACACTTGTTAGAAAATTCTTCTACTTTGCTTTTCCTTATTTGTGTTACGTAATTGAGTTATTGATGGTTCAGTGTACGAGCTGTGTAGTGTGAGAATTTGTGTGTTTCTGTGATGAATCATCAGTTGGGCTGCTTGTATTGGTCAAGATGTGGTTCTTAGACCTGAGGGTGGTACTATGGTATTGGGGGTGAGGAGTGTTTGGAAGTATGTGGGTGTTTCTGCTAAGATTTGGGTAATGGCCGCACCCATAATTTCGCGGACCGCGGTGGAGGTTCGCGGCCACGCCCGGGGTTTAGCGGACCGCGTAGTGAGGATCCGGAGGTGCTATATAAACGGGACTTTTCATCCATTTTTCACTTTTTCAAAACCCTAGAGCATAAGAGGCGATTTTTCAAATACTTTTTCTTCCCCAAATCATAAGTAAGTGATTCTTAATTCCTTTCTTTCACTCTTTTACTTCTTTCACAAGATTTCATCTTAGAATCTAGGGTTTTCATGGTAGAATGGGGATCTTTGGGTAGAACTTAGGAATTTCAAATTTGGGGATTTAGACCTTAAATTGAGGTCGGATTCCGAAACTAATTACATATTTGGGCTCGTGGGTGAATGGGTGAATGGGTTTTGGTCCGAACATCGAGTTTTGACCAAGCGGGCCCGGGGTCGGTTTTTGACTTTTTGGGAAGAATGTTGGGAAACCTATAATTATGCATTAGAATTGATTTCTTTAGCGGTAGTTGATGTTATTAAGTTAATTATGACTAGATACGAGTGGATTGGAGGTGAAATCTTGAGGAAAAGCGATAATTGAGCTTTAAGTTAGCCGTTTGATTGAGGTAAAAGTGTTTGGTCTAACCTTGACTCGAGAGATTAGGGATCCCCGACTTAATTGCTATGTGAAATTCCACGTGTGTGGCGTATAGGTGTGGTGACGAGTACCTATGCGCCGCCAAATTATCTATTTAGCACGTTCCCTTCCCCGTTCCTAATATATTGTTTTCCTGTCTTAACTGCTACTTGCTTATTGATGCTTCCATGACTAATTGCTTCTTGTTAAATGTTGTTTTCTCTATTGAAGGTATTAATTGTTCCGTAGTTTCCTTATATTACATTGTTGGTTTGAGTTGGTTTATTGGTGCTTCATGTACACTTTGGTTGGTCTCGCTATGTAGTATTAACTAGGGCTGTGCATTTGGATCGGATATCCGAAATCCGATCCGATCCACTCTATTTCGGATTTTCGGATTTCAGATTTCGGATTTTCGGATTAGATACGGATTATGTTTTATAAAATTTTGGATTTTCGGATTGGATTCGGATTGACATATTTTTAATCCGATCCGATCCGAAATCCGAAGTTATATGACCTATATATAAATACTATCCAAAAATTTTAGGGTTAAGTAACCTTATATTCATTTATCGGAGACTGACCCTAGGTTATATCGATGTTGAGTCTCTAGTCTCTTCCGCCTCTCTTCACAGATCTATTCCTCAGTCCTCTCGAACTCGAAGTCTTCATCTCAGTCTGACGCCGACCAAGCTTCCGCCGTCTTCACTCTTCATCTCAGTCCTCTCGAAGTCTCAAGTCAGTGAACTCCAAGTCCTCTCAAGTCTTCACAAACGATTTCCGGTCAAGAGCAGGTGATGTTTCAGTTATCCGGGAAAGTATTTTCTTCATTGTTAAGTGAATATTCAGAAGTGGACTTTAGTTTGCAGAAATATGGTCAAATAGAACCTCTGATAGAAGTTCAAATGTTAGAAGCTTTTGGAATTGAATTCCGGCCTAAAGTTTAGGTCTCATTTGAAATGAAGTTTGCTCTTTATCAAGTTAAAGTGTAAAATTTCTGTTGAAATTATATTTGTAAACTACACTGTAGTAGAGAACCACCCTGTCGGAAGTGTTGGCAACTGTGACTGCTGTTGGCAAGTTGGGAATTTTAGGCAACTGAGGCAGTGACGGTATTGTTGGCAAGTTTGGAAGTTGCAGTAGGTTGCGAGCTGCATTGCTTGTGTTGATGCTTGATAAGGAAAATAATGCTATGATCAAGAAAAGGATTGAATAGTTGCTAGAAGAAGCCATTCTGTTAATTTGATATATTGTTTTGTTTCAAGGAAATGAAGTAGATAATAGAAGTTGGAAATGAATCAATAATTTGATATATTGTTTTCTTGATCATAGCATTAAAAGTAATAGTTTGAGTATACAGATTACAGTATAGAATAAAATCTAACATAGGATAATTATGCGACAATCCGATCCGACAATCCGAAAAATATCCGATCCAAAGTTTCAAAATCCGATCCGATCCAATGTTATTCGGATCGGATTCGATTGCCCTTTTACAATCCGAAATCCGAAATCCGAATCCGAAATTATGCTAAATCCGATCTAATCCGTGCACAACCCTAGTATTAACTGGTGAAGTTTCATAACTGTATAGATCTCCCGTTCTTTTTGGTTTGAGGTATAAATGTTGTGGAGGATTTTGAGCTAAATTGTGAAATACTAGTTCTTATTTTGTGATTGGTAACTGATATGGTGGGATCGGGTTGCACGCCGCAACAGGAGGAATAAGGGTAAAATGTGATTGTCTGGTGGGATCGGGTTGCGCGCCGCAACAAGGAGATAATAAAGGTGGACAGGTGGAAATCGGGTTGCACGCCGCAACAGGAAGAATAAGGGTATATATATTGAGGAGTAATAAGGGTGGAACTGGTGGGATCGGGTTGCATGCCGCAACAAGGAGTAATAAGGGTGGATGTTCATATTGTTATTGATTATATGGTGGGATCGGGATGCGCGCCGCATCATTTGTTGTTTATATATTCTTCTTCTGCTGTGATTTATCCTGTAGTATTGTAACTCTCTTAAGATTGGTTATAGCTGAGTACTGGCAAGACATTTGGGTTCCGTATTTACTTTGTTGCTAGATATTGTTCTGTGAGCAGTGATTTTTGCCTCACTTTAACTACTCCATAAATTCATAAAATTAGGATTTTTCTTTGATTTTAGAATTTAATTGCATTTTTGTGTGCATTTTTAGTTGGCATAATTCATAAAAAAAAATACAAAAATAGTACATTTGCATCTAAAATTTGATTTTTATATTTTTAGTTTTACTAGTTAATTAATATTACTAAATAAGAGAAAATAACAAAAATAGCCTTTTTACAATTTTAAATTTTACATTTTGATTAGGAATTAGTTAATTAGTCTCACCTTAGATTTGATTTGGGTCTTATTTTAGGAGAAGTTATTTTACATAATAAAATCAGAAAATTCCAAAAAGAAAAAATAATAATAATAATAATAGTAAAGTACAAATAAATAAAAAGGGATTAAAAGAAAATTGGAATGAAGAAAAATGAAAAGGAGGAAATAGACTTTTGGGCTAAAACAATTATTCCCCTCAGCCCAATTGAAAATCCGCCCAAACAAGCCCAAAAATCCGGCACCCATACCCGGTCCAGCACCCATGCTTTGAGACCAACGAAACGACGTATATAAGAGGAATACTACGTCGTTTTGAGTCAAGAAATAGCAAATTATCTGGACCCTTCATCCTTCCCAATCCAACGGCCCTGAGTTGATCTTGGTTTTAAAATAAAATTGTCCGAACATTGTCTCAACCCTAGAGACAGACCCTCCTTCCTCGTACTCGTCGTTCCCCGCCGGCTCCGCCTTACGCCGCCGCCGGAAACCGCCTCACAGCGGCGGCCGGCGTCCAATGACGCCTAAATTTGGCACCGTCTTCTCTCCTCGCCCCCCTCTTCCCAAATCCACCCTCATCTTACCTCAAACCCCAACCAAAACCCTCGAATCTGTAAACCCTAGGCGCCGCCTTCGCCGCCCACGGCGGCGCCACCACCAAATGACCCCAAGTTTTACACCATGTGTTCTCCCCAAGGCCTTCTTTCCCAAATCCATGGCCATCTTCGTTTGGATCCCCCTACATATCCTCGAATTTTAAATCAAAAAACTCGGCCTAAACCCTAAAATGCCTCCAAATCTCATCAAATTGATGTCACACGACCTCCTCACCTCCTTCATGACGAATCCATCATCAGTAGCACTTGAACTTCACCGGAGCTGATTGATTTTTCAAATTTAAAAGGGGAGCAGAACCCTTAGGGTTTTAGTGAGTAAGTTTTCTTTATTTTTCTCCATTATTCAGAGTTAGCTTCTCCTTCATGCTTGTCGTTCTTTTCTGATTAGTTAATTTAGGGTTTGGTTTGTTTGTTTTTTCTCATCTTTTCTTATCAACTCGTCCGAAACAGTGTTTAAGTGTGTGGATTTGTCTTTTTATTTGTTTGCTTTTCTGTTAATCAATAGTAATAATCTGTCGTTTGCTAATATTAGTTGTGATTTAAGTTCTTTAAATTAGGGTTAATCATGTTCAGAATTTCGTTTACATTTTGTCTTGCTTAAATTTTCTTCATGTATGATTTAAGTTTATTCTATTAAGTTTGGTTTTTGTGTTTTGGACAGATTCTTGATGATCTTTAATTGGTCCTGCTTGGGCACTGTTTGGTTTTGGTTCGCTTAACTAGTAATCCTATATTAGTTAGTTGATTAGCTTAGTTTAGTTCATTTCAATTTAATCAGTGGTCGTTCTTTAGTTCCATGTTTGTTTTCAAATAATCCTTAAGCTTAGTTTAGTTGTTTGGGTATAGTTGACTAGGCTAACCCTTGTTTGAGTAACCTTGGTTAGTTCGAACTAGGGTTAACTAATTTTCAGAGTTAGTTTGGTTGATTTGGTAATTTCAGTTGATAAAAGGGTAAGTTAGGCATTTCAAAGAGAAGGAATCTTGTAGTAACTAAGATAGAATTCTCTAGAAGCTTCTAGAATAGGGCTCAAGTTAGATTTCAGCAAGTTTAGGATAGTAACTTGGGTAGCAAGTTAAAAAATAAGGGACTAAAAGCTGAAAATGAGTAAGGACCAAAAAGAAAACTGAAAATCTGAAGGTAGCCCTAGACTTTGCCTATAAAAGGGCACACCATTGCCTTGTTTAACAGGTTTTGAACAATCTGAAAATTCCCCCAAAAAAAAAGATGTTTTAGATTCTGAAAAATCCAAAAAAAAAAAAGCTCTCCAGCTCTTAAAAATTCCCTTCCTCAATTCTGAAATTCAAATTTGAGCCTCAACATTCGAGAGGTTCAAATTTGAGATTGTATAGCTGTAGAAATCATCACCTTAGGTCTTACCTCCTGCTGAAAATCCAAAAACATACAAAATCTAGTAAAAAAAAATTTCAAAAAAAAATAATGTTGTTGCCTTAAACTCTGAGTTTGATTGCAAGCTGATTTTCATCTGAGTTTCCTACTGTTCTAGCTTCAATTTCAAGTCATTTTGGGTCTAGCTCATGCTGTTTTCGGCTATTTTATTGCTGCTGATTCTCTGTTAATTTTCCTGGGGCTGTGATATCACTTTGGTCTTGAGATTGGTTTTATGTATTGCTGATTCGAGTTGCTGACTGCTGTGTACTGCTGCTGACTCTTCCTTCTTCTTACTTTTCTCTAATTTCCAGGTACATATATTTGAACTCTGCAATGTGAATTCAAGTTGGAGATGAAATGAAGCGATTTCTCTATTTTATTAGCTTCATATTAGTATTAACAGTGATTGTAGTTTCCTGTTTGTTATGTAGACCAATGATGTATTAATCGTGTTTTGGTTTATAAACCTGTTTGGAAATGTTAGCTTCAGTAGTATTTTGGGACATTCAAAACTGTATAAATTGGACTGTTTATTAGAGATTTTCAACACTTAAATTCGTGTTAATTTGGATAGAACTCCAGTAGCCGTTCAGGTTTCAACCATTGAGTAGTTTATATGAACTTATGCAATTGAAGTCTGGTTTGTTGCTAAATTCCAGGAATCAGCGTTTAGGGTGAATAAACAAACGTGTAGATTAATTGAAATCAAAGAGAAGTGATTAGTATTTTGCAGAATTCCGGTATTTTTGACACCTAACTCATATAAATGCTTTAGCCATGGCAGATCTGAAATCACAATTCCTTTTGAATTACATTTGTTTTACTGAGTTAATTTGTATAGCAGAACTGGACCGGGCCTGTTCTTAAGGGGCCTAAATTTTAAACAGCCTTGTGTTGAGGCCCAGCGTCTGGATGGCTTCATCTATCAGAACGGGGCCAAGCCTCTAAGGCCCCCAAAAGTTGTTATGGGTTAAAACCTTTTAAAATTACATTAGGAATATGGGAAATTAATTTGCAGTATAAATTTAGGTTTTTGAGTTAGGTAGCGGGTTCAAACTAAGAGGGTCTGTCCTTTTGTTTGAATTCGGACTTGAACTTGAGACCCGAATTCATAAATGCAAATTAATTAGCCCTTTTAGAGACAAATAATAAATAGAAACTTATAGTTACTTTAGGACTAGCCTTTAAATAAATAAATTGAGATGAGCCTCGCTACACGAAATGCAAAATTTGCGGGGCCCTCATTAAGCGTTTTATTAAACTATTTTAGAAATTCGGGACGTGCCATTTAGCGAATTTTCATAGCCTCCCGCAAAGTTAATAAGACGTTAGCTACTCTAGGCGCGCTTTTAAATAATATTACCTTCTTAAATACGGGTGTGCATTTTATGTGACCCAAATCCAAATCCCAAAACGTCGAATAAGAGGTGCTGAGGATCCGGGTGCATTTCATGTGACGTGATCCAAAGACACGCTCTTAAACGGCGTTCACTTTCGTAAAAATAGTTAAAGCGGTAAATAATCTCAAAAATTGCATTATGGGTGGGAATGTGTATAAAAACCAGATGTTTAGCCATTTATAATAATTCAAGCGACCGTGCTAGAACCACGGGATCCGGGGGTGCCTAACACCTTCCCTCGGGTCAACAGAATTCCTTATTCAGAATTTCTGGTTCGCAGACTCCAATTGGGAAGTCGAAGTTTTCCTCGATTTGGGATTTAAATTAAATCGGTGACTTGGGACACCAAAAGCCAATCCTATCCCAAGTGGCGACTCTAAAAAAAATAAACAAATGATCCCATTTCGAATAATGTCACTTTAAATGGAAAAACTCCCTTATACATAATCCTTCGGGGTAGGTGTGTAAAAAAGGAGGTGTGACAGTTCCAGTTCATTCTGTGCTCCCTTTTTGCTTTTATATACTGTTGCAGGTTATATTGTATATGCTCCGCTGTAGCCTCGTCACTACTTCATCGAGGTTAGGCTCGGCACTTACCAGTACATGGGGTTGGTTGTACTGACACTGCACTCTGCACTTTCTGTGCAGATTTCGGAGCTGGTACTAGTTGATCGAGAGGTCGGTTGCTGATACTTCATTCAGGAGACACAAGGTAGTACTGCTGGCGTCCGCAGGCCTTGGCGTCCCCTCCTATGTTTTTCTCATTTCTGTTTTATTTTCCTTCGGGACAGATGTATTTTTCTTTCAAAGCCTTACTTGTAGTATTCATAGAATGTTTGTGAGTTGTGACACCAGTTTCTAGGTGGTAATTATTTCGGTTTTGTCAATAGTATAAGGATGATCAGTTCATGTACTTCCGCTTTGTTGATTTAGTTTTTGTTAACTGTTTAATTATAAAAAGGTAAAGGAAAAGGTGAACAATTCTCTAACGTTGGCTTGCCTAGCGAGTGCGATGTTAGGCGCCATCACTGTCCCGACGGTGGGAAATTCAGGTCGTGACATTCAATCTAAAATTCAGCCAAATCAAGTCTAACCTTCACCAAAACACCATCAAAACTGAGATATAAACTCCAAACAATATTCCCAATTGTTTGCAACAACACCCATTCCAAACAAATAATGGTTTTTGAAAACCTAAATCCTAAGCTTCAAAGCTTTTTAATGGCTGTCAATGGTGGAGAGTCAAACACCTTCAAAATTTGTTGATTGACAGTTTCAATTTGAACACTAATTGTGCAACATGAAAGGAAATTGCTAAGTTAAAATGATTGAAATCCATTGATGAATTCCATTAAAACTCTATACAACAAGAAAACATAAAAAACAGAGGCAACAAATGAAGAAAAATTGGGAGAAAAAACAGAGAAAGAGAGCAGAGAGACGGATACACACACACACACACACACACACACACACACACACACACACATATATATATATATATATATATATATATATATATATATATATATATATATATAGAGAGAGAGAGAGAGAGAGAGAGAGAGAGACGAAGAGAGAGAGTGGGCAAGTATAAAGGGATAAGGAAATAACTGATATTCCTTATTCAATTCCTAATATAAAGGGATACTCATTTAAAACTTATTTGTATATAATTGATAAATTGTATATGACCATGTAATTAAACTGAAACTTTAGTAGGGAGGGTAATAAAGTTGCAAATAGTGTATAGATAGGTAAAAATCCCTAATAAAAATGATAATTTTTCTTTTCATATATAGTGGAATAAAATAAGGTATAAATAGGAAAATAGACATATCAATTTTGAAAAATGATTTTAGTGTGATTGATGTAGATCTTAAGAGTGAAATATTGAAATTAAAACTCTGTAATTGTATGATGAATTTAGAAATATTAGACTTTTTCTCAAATTCCAATATAACCAATATAAGTTCAAATTTTAAACTTTTTATTTTTAATAGTGATAATTATGAATTAAGCAAATTTTTAGCTCATGAGATAGTTCTCGAACTTGAAGTGACATTTTTACTTTTTTCACTTTGGCATTGTGACTACATGATATTTTTATAGAAACAATATAATTTATATGGTAAGACGTAAAATTTTATGAAATTCAACTACAAAATGGTGGCAAAATACTGAAAATATTTCATCAAAAACTTTGACACAAGTCAAATAACATTTACGATTTAAAATCCTCTCATTTTATTTTCAATTCCTTCACGTGGCAAATCAATTGGTTAAGCATAATTTTTGTTTTTTAACGAGCATCAAATATATGGGAAAATGAACTTGTATAGCCGCTCTAAAAGTAATAGCCGAAAAATATATATACGTATGTTATATATAAAATATATACAAATTTTATATATTTTTTCGGCTACCAAATGTAAATAGTTTTTGGTGCGGGCTAAAAGTGAAAAAAGCCCAAGTATATTGGATACTGTATAATAAAATAAATATATTAATTAAAGAAAATTATTGATAAAGTCGTCGACTAAGAGCCTGTTTGGATTAGCTGATTGTAAATAACTGATAAGCTTGAAGTGCTGAAAAACTTTTAAGTGCTGAAACGTATTTTTTTTTATATAAATATTTACGTGTTTGGATAGACGTGCTGAAACTGATAATAAGCAGTTGATGTGTTTGGTAGAAAAAAACTGATAAGTAATTCTTTTATTAAAATGAATATCTTTAAAAACTTTACAAAAGATTATAAATTAAAAAAAAATTGTAAAGAAAAAAATAAACAACGAATATGGAATGAGAAGAAAATTAGAACATTTATTTTGGGAAAAATATTTTATGCCGTTTCAAGTGGATGTTCAGTTGGTTCAGCGATAGATGTAGTCGGTGGGGTAGAGGTTCTGCAGATACTCGTCTAGCTCCTCATTTATGCCCTACAATAAACCAATAAACAAAGCAAACTAGCCGGTTCGATCAAAATGAATTCTTGTTTTGACTAAATAGTTATGGATGACTTGACAATTCCAATTCGAATCGACCAATCGAATCCGGTATATTTTCCACGTTCATAGAAGTGCGTTTATGTTTCTGCTTTATGAATATGATTTTTTTTGGGCATTTCTAATAATATCTAAAAAATATTATTAAGGATAAACTAACAAAAACTTTTTTTTTTTGGTAATTAAACTTTTATATACTAGGAAAAATATTTACGATCAATACAAAGCCCTTACATATATTCCTATGCTTCCTGTACTTCCTCCCCCCCTCCCCCCCTCTTGTTCATTCTATTGCTATCTTTTTGTTACTTCTAGCTATTACATTGGATATTAATCCAGTTTACTTAGAGCTTTTCCTACTTTCTTGCTGCTTCTACAATGCACTTCTTGTACTATTAGCTTGCCAATTATCTCCCGGTTCCTCGCTTTAGCTTGAAATAGTCTTGCATTCCTTTCTTGCCAAACAAAATATACACACCCTGCTAATACCATCTTGAACAGCTCTATTTTGCATTCCCGTTTCTTGTCAAGTTTTCTGCCCATTCTAGCTCCTCAGACCAACCATATATGTTCCTGCTAATACCTTGCCATTTGAGCATCCTCTTCCATAGTTCAGCCGCATATTGGCACTCAAAGAATTGATGTTGGATAGATTCATTTGCCTGTGTGCATAGAGGACATGTTTGATCAGTTTGAATGCCCTACTTTAGCAATCTATCCTTTGTGTATAGTCTGCCATTTGCCACCAGAGTTAGCATGAATACAACATACCAATTTCCTCCAACTCACTTTGCTAAAGTCTCATCGCAATTTATGGTATATGTGCTTGATAGAGAAATCATGCATCTGCCTTAGATCTTTATAGGTATATCCTGTTGTCTCAAAATTCTCTTTAGCTTTCACTATCTTCCTCATAATCCATGATGCTTGGTTCAATTGCACATCCCAAATATGTTTATTCTTTATGTAGTAGCAGTGCACCCATTGTATCCATAGCTTGTTCTTTCTTTGCATAGATTCCAGAATTGCTTTCTTACAACTGCTTTGTTCCATAGACCAATATCCATTATATTAAAACCTCCTGCTGATCTAGGTTGGCAAACTTTCTCTCAAGCTAGTAGAGCTTTCTTTGAAATGTTGTTATCCC